CTGTGTGCTTACCTGCAATGAATTCAGCTTTGATACCAGCTCTTCATAAGCACTGATGTTACGAACAAGATGGGGTGGGAAGGGGTCGAGCACCTCCAAGTCAACGCCTGTATAGGTAAGAATTATTCCCACTTTACAAATGGGGGAACTAAAGCACAGGTAGCTCAAGGTCCACAACCTTGAAGGCATTTAGGCCCCTCACATCCACAGAAATTAGGTGCTAAAATACCTGTAAGAATCTGGGTCTAAGTGAGCTGCTGGAAGTCTCAGAATGGTGGGAAGGGGTCGAGCACCTCCAAGTCAACGCCTGTATAGGTAAGAATTATTCCCACTTTACAAATGGGGGAACTAAAGCACAGGTAGCTCAAGGTCCACAACCTTGAAGGCATTTAGGCCCCTCACATCCACAGAAATTAGGTGCTAAAATACCTGTAAGAATCTGGGTCTAAGTGAGCTGCTGGAAGTCTCAGAATCCCTCTCTCAGAGTCTGTCCTCCATGGCAGAGGCTCTCACAATGGGAGCGGCACAGAAGTTTCTTTTTTCTAAATGTTTTCACACACATTCTCTCGATCTCCTCTACCCCCTTCTCCTCCTCCCCCCTCCCCCTTGTTCTTATAGTCACATACATTAACTCAAAAATGCCTGCCTGAATCTGCAGATGATCTGAAACTGAAACAATAGCTGTAAGATGTAAACAACCCCATTCACTTTATTTAAGATCCTACAGACACCTGTTCCAACTTAAGGTCATATTTGAAGAATTCTTCCCTGAGGGTTTGAGCCCATTGTTGAGGAAGAAGAATCAATAAAGTCACACTGCTACCAGATGCACAAGATTTATTGATAGTCTTGCAATGAGTCATATAAGTTACAGGTTGCAAGTGAAGGCTGGTGTCAGTTTTGGTGCTTAGTGAAATACAAATATCTATCTCCCTCCACCCCAGGCTCCAAGACTGCTGCTTTCATTTGCTCCTTTGTCTATGAAGTAGAATTTTCAAGATTACTTGTCAATTTTCAAAATCACTTGCTAAGTGTTAAGAATGAACTATTTTTATGCCTGATAAACTTCATGATGCTCTTTGAACTGATTTGCAATTCCAGACAGCTTCATCCATCTCATTAACCATTAATATAAGTAAAGAACAGGCAAGTTATTAGATTTAATTTAAACTGAATTATATTTCAGGAGCAAGTTTGTATAAATATAGATTTTCTGTATGCTGCTAACAAAATGAAGATTATAAATTTTATTCTAATTTATTTGCAGAGTAGGAAAAGTCATTGCTAAGAACTGAGGATTCTGATAGGAAGTTATGAAAATACTGATGCATTAAAAAAAGGGTCAGAACTTAGAAGTTGGTGAACCACTGCTGTATGGCTTAGCTTAATAATTGAAGGCCAGGTTAAAACTCATTGAAATCAACAGGCAGATTCCTACTGAGGCTTTAATTGGCTCTGGATGAAACAGGAGTGAAATATAAATAATAATGGAGGAACAGGGCAAAAATCCATTTTTGACATACAGCTTCAGTGTCTTTTTGTGAAGAATGACTTTTGCTTATTATTGTGCTGTAACGTTTTGAAATGCTTTTTTGGTCATAAGAATGTTTTTATGTTGACATACCTACTATATATTTGAGACAGTTTGTCGGTCTAAGAACTCCAAGCAAGAGAAAGGGGCTGGCTTGGGACACCCCTCCCCAGAACAGCATGGCTCCATCCCAGAGGCTCCCGACTCCCCCACGCCCTTTTGGGAGGATAGGGAAGCTGAAGTTCTCCTCACTCTCACCCCCAATGCATAGATGCACAAGAGGACATCGCTGGCTGTTCCCCTTCGTCACAGAGGAAAGGGGAAAGTGCATAGTTTGCTGCATTCCCACTCTGGCTGGGAAGCACAGGGGTAGATGAATCTGAATCTGCCCCAGCCAGGCATCATGTACCCCTCCCCTAGCTATGCCTATTAGTGTTGCAGCAGTCATTGAGAGGTGTTGTCACCTGACCCCAAGCTGCTGCAGCAAGAAAGGGCTGTGACCCATTAGCTCTGCTCAAGCTAGCACACTAAAAACAGCATTGTGGACTGTGTGGCATGGGCAATGGATTGGCTACCCATCCAAGCTTGGACCTGGGGTGTGCGGGCTTGGACTCAGGCTGCTGCCCATGTTGCAGTATCCACACTGCTATTTTTAATGTATTAGCTGGAGCAAAGCTAACAAGTCTGTCTACCCAAGCTGGGAAGCACACTCAGCTAGAGCGTAGACCTATTCTTATGGGTCAGACAAACTGAGAAATGTGGAAGAGAGAAGGAATGCAAAAGATCACTGTTTGGATCCTAAAGGGAAAACATGAGTCATGGCTCTGGTACTGATTTATGACCTTATGTATTATATTTGAGTGTCCTGTATTTTATTCCTTCAGTCAAGATAGATGTCTGTTTCCAGCTATTATGAATATCTTAGTCTACATTCTGTAAGACATTTGTCCTTTCACTTGGGACACAGTGCTGTACGTCCAAATGAGTGAAAATAAAGAGATCTTGGCTTCTGTGGTTCCTGAGAGAACAGCTATTGTTCAGATAATAAAAATAAACTGATCAGGGAGTTTATTAAACTAAGTCTGTTCCCTAAGTGATGTATTTAGCTGTTGACTTTGCTAAGTGCCCCTTCAACTTCTGAATTGTCTTTATCCGGGCATAGGCATGACCCCTCAAACAGATTAATATCAGTCTTGAGGTTCAGTCATAGTTTTAAGAATGATCTGATAGGGCCACTGGTGGATTTAACTGAAAGGTTTGTTAGATATTTCAATAGCAATAGCATTTATGAGTCCAGAGAGAGAACATAAAGACTAATGGTAACCTTGCCAGCAGTCTTCAGTATATCTTGCCATTTTATTTATTTATTTATTTATTTATTTGCATCATCCCTTGGCTGATGTTGGCAATGACACATCTCACTGGCCTAACTATGATCTCATGTATTTCCCAATGTAGCTCCATAAAATGAAATATCAGTTGTGTCTTCCCTTTGTCTCTTTAGGGTGACACTAGGTATTTTAGTAAAAAAAAAATTCCTACTTTAGCTGCCTGCCCTATTTTCAAAATCCCATCCTAATTATCAGAGTTGTTCATCCAAACTCCAGACCTGGTATGCGTGTGTCTACACTTTGCTCTCAACTGAGACTGACTATCAATAGCTAGAAAAGAACATCCTTTCTAACCAGGTATGATGGGGTGGACAAGGCCCTGAGACCCCTGCTAGAGACCTAGTGGTCCTGCCACACGCCACCCCAGGAAAGGGTAATAGAGAGGTCCACTAAGCTGCCTAGAGCGGCTGTGTGGGAAACACCCAATCAGGGACCAGCAGGTTCATACAAGAGCTTCAGGGCCAGATCAAGGGAGTTCCTTGCTAGAGACGGGGGATAGCAGGTGCTTTGGGCTCGCTGCTGGGACTCACAAGTGGGACAAGGCCCTGAGGTAAAGGGGAAGAATATGCTGGAATCATGGGGAAGTGACCCCATGAATTAGAGCAGCACCACAGTTATTTAAAGGGACATCGCAAATAGCTGCTATCTACAGGCTCCCTGAGATGGGACCCAGAGTAGAGGGTGGGATTGGGTCCCCTCAATCCCCCATTAGTCATTGAGGGAAGTAGCCTGGATATAGTGAGACACCCTAGGGCAGGGAGACTGAATTATAGTGACCCATCTGAAAAGCTGGGGCCAGAAAGTCAAAGGCAAACCCTGGGGCACTATTTTATTCTGGAGTGGGGACACACTGAAGACAGTACAGGTCACTGAGGCCTGTTGGACTTATCCCCCGGCAAGGGTTTGCTTTGTTTTAACAGACCGTGGGACTCGTCTGGACGTCTGCGTTACCTAAGAGTCACCACGAACAGAAAAGGAGTGTGGGCACATGCACTTGGTCAGTGGGTGAGTGCACTCCATTACATCAAGCAGTAAAAAGGATGTCTCTCTTTCCAAGCACTGTTTTCATACTCCTCTGATATCATGAGCACAGTCAGTGGCGACACACTGTTGGACTGAAATTCAGTCACAGATGTCCACACAATGGCTACAAATTAATCTAAACTACAACTAGGTAATGTTTATGAGATTTTGATTAGGTTTCAGATATGCTGAAAGGACTTTTATAATATTGCCTGGAACATGTGTATGTTCAAAGAGGACTTTTGAGACTGATGCATTTCCTCATCTATCTGCCATTTCATTTACAAAATCATTCCATGACACTGACAATTTTCTAGATGGATTTATGGTTCACTTTTGCAAGCAAACATTTAGGAAATGATGATAATCCTTTTAATGGAATGGTGATTAAAGAACGCTAACAAATTAAAGCATACATTTTAAACTGCATCTTTAGCATGAGGGTAACACCTTAAAAAAATCTACCAATTACCAACTGAGAAAATTAAAATTAGAGACAAGTACAGTATATTGCAATCAATATACATCAAATAACTCTGAACCCTCTGGACATTCTGCCTGTTAACAACTCTGTTACATCAGTGTATCTTCCTGAAGACTGTCCTGAAAGCACAAAACTTTTCTAACACAGGACTCATTTGTTGGCAGAAATCCTGGGAGGTTCCCCAATTCTTCACTAAATCTCAACAAAAGCTAGAAAAACCTTATATGCTGTAGAAGGAAGAAACTGAGTCACATGGAGGTTCACAAACATACTTCAAAACAACCATACTCTCTCCAACCTTTACAGATCTTACTTGTAATTAGAGCTATGTAGATTACAAAAAAATCCATTTTGCAAAGGTTTTTGAGATTTCAGGATGTGGCTTAGTTCTGCATTAAAACAAAACCCAAACATTTCAAAATAACATCCAAAAATTAAGAAAAAAAGGTTTGGGATTAATATTTAGTTTAGAATTTGAATTACTCTGAAATACATAATACAAAATACAGTTCCAAAACAGAATACTGAAACATTCTGTTCCAATTATGTCACAATGGAACATTTCAACATTGTCAGAATTTTTCACTTTCCCCTAAACAAAGTTTTGCTAAACTAGACATTTTGTGACAGGTTTCAAGTGGAGCCACATACTCTAACAGAAAATTGTGTCCAAGTTTCCCTGCATATCACCTTTCTATCCTGGTAAGCATTCTTCACCAATCATCCTTATATTCTTACATCAACAAGAGACTGTAATATCCCCATAGCCAACAGGCTTGAGAGTTAACGAAGTTGCAAACAAGCTGTGGTGAGGGAGGCTTAATGAGTTTTAAGGGCTATCCTGATAAGCAAGACATGGTAATTCTAACCAGTTCCATGAACTATATTCCAGTGAAAGCATAATATAGATTAGGGATGTGAATGACTAGTTGACTGCAAATGTTTATCGGATAGGCGACACACTACGCAACTAGTCTCTCTTCCCACTGCAGCCTCTAACAGAAAGAGGCAGCAAACGGAGGAGGGGGTGCTTCAAAGTGGCAGTGCTGCATGGAGCCTGGGGCCAGACCCTGGGCTCCATGCGACACTGCTGCTTTGAAATGCCTGGGGCCGGGCTGCATGCAGCATTTCAAAGCAGCAGCACTGTGTGGAGCCCAGGGTTAGCTTAGGACTCCCCTGCTGCCTCTAGGCTCCGTGCAGCACTTCCCCTTTGGTCCTGTGCTTCCCTCAGTACTTTCACCTTTGAAGTGTAGCAAAAGCCCTGGTGCTGGTGTTACACTTCAAAGACAGAGGTGCCTTTATCAACTGACTGAATAGTCAATGCAAATTGCATCGACTATTCGATTAGCTAATTAATCTAAATTTAACATCCCTAAAATAGATACCTGCTTTATAAAAGTGAGAAGTGAAAGTAAGCTACAAGTTGTACCACTCTAAACCAGGATTCTTAGGTACAGCAACATTTGTGGACCAGCAAAATCCCTTGTTTAGGACCACTTAGATCCCAAGGTTACCAGACCAGGGAGGTCCAACCTGTAGTATGGCATATCAGGCCATACTAACAAGAAAGTGACCAGCAAGGTCGGGTATGCTGCACAAAATATTATAGTCTATATGATGCTGCAGGAGCTGCAGTCAGTTCTGCTCCTTTCCTCTCTGCAGGAAAGGCATATAACCCCTACCCCTGTCCTCTGGCAAGGATGCTGTTGTTCAGATAGAGTTGGAGGAGCTGGGGGCAGGACTGGGGCTTCTGCTCCTTATCCTGCTAGCTGGACCAGAGCAGGCAAAGCAGCAGAGCTGCTGCCAGCTATTCTGGCTGTTGTACCACCCCCCACTTTCTCCCGCAGCTATTGGGAGTCACGTAGCCTTACTTTAGTGGATGTGCTTCTCCCCACATACTGGGAAGAAGTTTTACTTTTATCTCTGCCTATAGTCATATTATGGTGAGAATTCATAGACAGAAAACTAACTAAATCCAACTGATATTTTATACAGTGTGCGTAATAAGCTTTTCTAGAACGCACACACTCACACAAAGAAAAGCTTATTACACAAATGCACTAGGGCTGTGTCTAGACTATAATCAAGCACTTTGGAAGTGCAAATGAGCCCGGGATTTAAATATCCCGGGCTTCATTTGCACTCTCACGTTCCGACGCTGTGCCGATCACGCTCAGCGTCGAAAGTAAAAGTAAAGTGTAGCCGCGGCTCTACCGACAGCGGGGAGCTTTTTCAGCAGACCCTGTACTCCTCATTTTTTGAGGAGTCAGCAGAGCCGCGACTACACTTTACTTTCACTTTCAACATTGAGCGTGATCGGCACAGCGTCAGAACGTGAGTATGCAAATGAAGCCCGGGATACTTAAATCCTGGGCTCATTTGCACTTCTGAAGTGCTTGATTTGCATCCCTCTGTCAGCAGAGGGATGCAGTCTGGACGTAGCCTGGATGTCTACCAACATGAAGCAGAAATAGTCCAGAGGAACAAGAATATTGGCACAAGATCTGTATACCATTTAATACTGAAAGGTCAATTGCTACAACTATCCCTTTCTGGCCATGCATTAACTTAGAGATGCCTTCTGTAGTGAACAGGGACCCACGTTTAAACCATTGTGTTGCTTCATTTCTCCCTGACATCTCTGATGCCAGTAACTGCTATAATCAAGAAAGCTGAAGTGCTTAATGTGCATTTTGCTTCAGTCCTCAATAAAAAGGTTAATGGAGACCAAATACTCAACTGCAATGTTAACAAGGGAAAAAGAATGTAGTTAGAAAATGTTTATGTAAGTTAAATGTACTCAAGCTGGCAAGAACTGCTGCAGTTCATCCTAGGGTAAAGAACTAGCTGAAGCATCCTTGGAATTTTGAAAACTCATGGAGAATGGGTGACATACCCAAGACCTGGAAACTGCAAACTGGTAAACATGGTACCTAAGGGTACATCTACACAACAACATTATTTCAAAATAACTTAGTCCACGTCTACACAGCAGGCAGTTATTTCGAAATAATGTTGAAATATTGTCAAGCCGGAGAACTTGTTACTCCAACTCCTGTAACACTCATTATATGAGGCGCAAGGGAAGTCAGAGAAAGAGTGCTCTATTTAGAAGTGCTGTGTAGACCGTCCCAATTTCGAAATAATCTATGCAATTGACATAGCTCAATTTGCATAGCTTAATTTGAGTTAAACCCTGCTTGTGTAGGTGTATCCTATCTTTAATAAAGGAAAACCAAGGGGAAATGGCAGGGGTACTCCAATAACGTGCTCTGAGGCTTCTACTCTGAGTTGGTGATACATGCAAGGGGAAAAAGTTTGAAATCAGGAGAACTTTTATCTGTTTTTACAGGTCTGTTTCACTGGCATAGCATGGATCCTAAACACTTCCCAGAGAAACTGTATACACGAGTGAATATCTTTTACTCTCCTTTCCAGTGTCAGTAAATAGTGTATTAATATTTGCAAAGAGAGCATGACTATTGCTAGTTGACTCAGATTTATTTAACGTCTTAAAACTGAGAAATGTGTGGATAATATGCATGCAAGACAGATAGTTTTGTGAACTACAAAGGGTTTGCAGCATGCTGTGTTTTGGGAGATACTTCATTTTGAGAGCAGCTTTAGTGGAGATTCTGAAGATGTAGCGGTCTATGCGAGTAGGTTGTTAAAAATAGGCACCAGAGCCCCAATTTATACTTAGTGGCCATGTCTGATTAATTTGTATAGCTGTTTTAAGTATGCCTCATTGTGGTGTGTTTTAGCTTGAGTGGTTAGAAAGGATGGTAATACATATATTCCAAAGACAGTGTTAATTTTCTTTTAATTTGATTTCATATTAAATATCTTAAGCATTGCTACTTGTTGGTTGTCCCTTCTAATCATTTTTTATTCCATACTTATGGACTGTTTAAATTACCTTTATATATAGGCTTTTTGTTTGTATTGGTGATGCACATACACATATATGCAACACCAATATTGAGGTTGTAAGAAATTTCAATCTGCCTACGGATGGAAAACGTTAGAAGGAACACTGGTAAGGAGAACCATTGGTTTTCCAGAATAATAAAATATTTGAAACACATTTCATGGCTTCAAGTATGACATACTCCTATACAGTACTTACACCCTAACACAAGGCATTACCCATAGGGGTGGAAGATAAATGACACTTCAAAACCTACTTCTATTCTGCTTTTCTGAGAGACTGCAATAAAAAGCCAAAGAACATGTGATGGAGAAAAGCAAGCAAAGGACTAAGCAATTAATTTCATTGATAATAAATACATCTATAATATGAAAGAAAGATGCATTTAAATTTGACACATTTTCCTGCATGAAGACTTAGTGTTTCATAAGTTTCTAGTTTTTTAAAAGAGAAAACACCACCACCACTCCACAAAAAGGAATGTTCAAATGCCCAATCAAACTCCATAAGAAAAAAAAACCCCACAAGATGTGGTCAAACTTAATTTTAACTAAAGGATTTCCCACTGCCTCTCTCATTTTTGAAAAAGGAAAATAAGTAAAAAATGAAGTCGTCAAATCATTTTTAAGGGCAGTTTCACTATAAAACAAAGATCACAACATCATTTTTAGAGTCACTTATTGTCTCGGTAACTTCTGGGAAATCAAAATATTTTATGTAACTTGAGAAAACTTTGACATCGAAGTGCCTGCACTCCAAAAATCAAGCAGTTTTCATGTTTTGTTCATGTACCACCTCTGGTAACAAACAGTATGTTGAAAAACCCAGTTATGGAGTGTGCGTACAAACCCCAGTCATCAGGAGAGCAACCACAGAGCAGCAGGACTTCCCTGTGACCAACAACATGAAATCTGTCAGTTGAAAAGGAAAAAGCACTGTGGGTTTCCCACTGTCTTGTTTACTGTGCTTCCGAGTACCCACTTCTCCAACCTGGGAATCATTGCTTTCCTTAGGCAAGTTTCTTAGCAATCAAATTTCTCTAAACTAGGAAGGGTTAGGAGACTTTTTTCTTAAATGAAAGCATAGGTCATTTTACAGACTATACTAAATAAGATATTCCAAATCTCCAATTAATTTCCCAAACACATAGCCCTCAAAACTAGATAATGAAATTTTTACCCTAAGCACATCACATCACTTCCAGTAAGCTAATTTATCTTTCTTCTTCCTGAAGTAACAGCTGAACCATACATGCATGACTGTTTGAGTAACAGTTTTTTCAATAAAAACTTAAAAACAACAAATAGCCTTGCAGCACGCTAAAGACCAACAAAACATGTAGATGGTATCATGAACTTTTCATAGGCACAACCCACTTCTTTAGATCAAGGTGTTGCTTCATGGCATCTGGGCAGGGGCGGATATATGGCAGGGCGAGTGGGGCGGCCGCCCCAGGCCCCGCGCTTCAAAAAGCCCCGCGCATGCGCCATGGCGCCACCGCGCATGCGCGTTGCGTCACCGTGCATGCGCCATGGCAAAGGGGGGCCCCGCAAAACAGTCATCTGCCCCTGCATCTGAGGGTATATGAACAAACTCTCCCTTATTAAACTTAAGATCAGATCATGATCTCCTTCATGAACATTATATAAACAACCTTGACAGAAAAAGGGAGGGCTATATACATACAGATAGTAGCCATCAAGTTCTCAGACTTATTTTCAGAAGCCTGAGGCCTTACAAATACCATTGATGTGCTTAGCATCCACAAATC